AAAAAGAACATAATATCTTAAATAAATAATTAAAAGGTTTGAAAGTGTGCACGAAATAAGGATACTAAGTCATAGCTTACTTTTAGGAAATCTTTCACGAAATAGATTATAAACAAAATTTCTGGTCTCCAAAATGTAATCCTCACGAATTGTAATAAGTTTCGATTGATTACATCAATCAGATGCTGTAAAAATCTCTTTGGGTTGCATTCGGGTCGATACCTAGTATTTCGGGGTAAGGGTGGTAGTTATTACTTATTATATTGAATTAGCTGAAGTTTATTGAATCTTTATTGCCGAGTACAGCTGCCTTTGGGTAGTTCTTCTTAATCTATTACAATTGTAAATGAATGGGAAAAGCGAGCGACCGATTTCATTCTCGGTATCATTTTGCATTTGAGAACGGTCAATCAAATTAATATCATTTCCTTTTGTTTGGGAAAGAGAGACACTGGCAGCGGTCCACTCTACCCATGATTATGGGTTTTGGTAAAATATCATCTCCTTTTGATTATAATGTCAGGGTACTATATAAAGTCGAAATATAAACTGATATCTTCATTAATAAGGAGGAAATTTCAACGATTTCGAAATTTTTCCTTTAAAAACATTTCCTTGTGTTTAAGTAAGCATATCGGTCGATCATTGACTGAATTTGCCACTTAATACTCATTCAAGTTGGCATTAAATTCATATATAATGACATTAAACTGTCGCGGCAAAGCAGAATTTGTTGGAAATCACGAATGAGCAAAATTCTCTCCTTTCGCACGTGCAAACTTTGAGCGAACGTTGCGTGCGCATCCAATATTGAATCGCCGTAAATTTTTGCATGTAATTGTTTTATATATAGTTTGATAAGCATGCAAAGTTTCAAACTATTTCAAGAAGAACTGTAATCACAACGGCACTTTAAAGTTGACAGAAAATGACGAAAACAGCAATTTTCAGTGATTTTAGCGATTTTCTATCAATTTGGGCGTGTCCCCACGTGTGCAACTTTTCGATTTTCAACTTTAAAACTAGCCTAATGCACAATTTATACCTATAGAAAGCAGAACTGAGCTCCACAACCCAAGGCATGGCCCAACACCAGAGAATACTAAATCGCAAAATTGACGTTTTTATAAAATAATTTCTCAAAAAAGCACAAACTTCAATGACGAATATCTTTATGAAGGAGCAAGCTAGAAAAACTTTCCGGTAGATTTTCAGAATGCTTGAACAATTATCTAAGATGAAAATTTCGTCAGATTTTGAATACAATTACTTTTTAATGGTGTAAAATCATTTTTTAAAATTATTACTTTGTCAAAAATCAAGTTTTAAAAACGGCTAACTTGATGACGTCATTAAGGGGTGTTCATGACGTCAAATAATTTTTGTATACAATGTAAACTGAAGTGTAAACAATTATTTTCAAGACCTGTGGTCGGAAATGGCTGTATCTTTTATACTTTTGAATCTATGGACAATTAAATACAGGCTACAATTGACTGGCAAAGCGTCTATCCCTGAATATATATGTATATCTATCTATGTCACGACAATCTGTCGTAAAACAGGGGTTCTAGAAAACCCACTTCCCGATGTTCCTGAAACCTGAAACTTTTTTTGCAGTCGATTTGGTCAACTTCTAGACGCCCTGAAAAATTTCAGATCTCTAACTCGATTTTAACATGGTTTTTAAGGCACCTGAATATGGCGATTTTGGGTTTTTTACCGAATTTCGTATAACAGTGCTGGCGAGTATTTTATGCAAATTTCATAAAAATCTCAACATAACTATTTTTTATTCCTGTCATCTTTGACATCAAATTAGAATGTTTTGAACTAAAAATAAATCTGCTGAACGACTTCCGATGAGTCTTAATGCCTGAAAAACTCCTGCCGGAGGCGGCGGCCTTCGGCCGCCGCCTCCGGCCGGAGTGCACGCTTCGCGTGCACGAAAGAGGCTTGTAACGTGTACCAAAGGGGGTATAATAGTAAAGGGGGTATAATAGTAAAGGGGGTACATAGTAAACCCACAATAAATGCACCGGTCGTGCTTGCCAGCACTGTGATATATATCTTCACGACAATCTGTTGTAAAACAGGGGTTCCAGAAAACCCACTTCCCGATACTCCTGAAACATGACATTTTTTTACAGTCGATTTGGACAAGGTCTAGACGCCCTGCAAAGTTTCAGATCTCTAACTCAATTTTAACATGGTTTTTAAGGCACCTGAATATGGCGATTTTGGGTTTTTTACCTAATTTCGTATAACATGCTGGCGCGTATTTTGCGCAAATTTCCTAAAAACCTCCATATATAACTATTTCTTATTCCTGTCATCTTCAACATTGAATTAGAATGTTTTGAACTTAAATGTACCTGCTGAACTACGATCGATGAGTCTTAATGCCTGGAAAACAATAAAGGGGATATAATCGACGATTATATCCCCTTTATTGTTTTCCAGGCATTAATCGTATAGGGGGTAAATAGTGTTGTGAATATAAGGGCGACGGTAATGCTTGCCAGCATTGTGATAACTATATGTTTCGTTTATTATTTCTAGCCACGAATGAACCGAGGAACAATCTTTTAAGTTTAGTCACATTCGTGAGTCCACAATTTTACGTAGGTTCGTATTGTTAATGTTAGACCTCCATGCAACTGCTTCTGGACGGCTCAAATATTCATAAATACTACAAGAGCTACCACATTAGTCAGCTTCACTAAGCTTGTAGCTGGTGAATACTATGGAATACTGTAGAGTGCAGTATTTGTCAGATGATTAGTCACCTTTGGGAATGAGGAGCCTCAGATTTGTACCTATAAGAGGAGTTGTAAGATAATGACAAACCACCTCTACAGGATGATGATAACACCGTCACTCTTTAACTAACTAGTCTTAAAGTTCGTCCTCTCAACTCATTTTCACAAGAACAATGATGAGCTCTCTTGCATACTAATGCACCAACAAGAAACCTAAAGAAAGGATTCCGATTAGTGTAGAGGGGTTCGTACTCTACGGCGTAAGACTTTAGTTTTACAGCGGGTTAGGGTTAGTGTTAGAGTCAATTACGCCGTAGAGTCCCGGACCCGCGTAGATCTGACCACGTACTGACATGTGAACAACTGCACCGCACGTACGTGCGACATGTGGAACTGGTTTATAACAGCGCAGTCTTTCAATTTCTTTAATTTGACGAATTGCAAATTGCTTTGCTTGGATTTGGAAACGTTTAGTAAAGCCGATCCGACGATTTTTAAAACTTGACCCAAATTCACAATCTTCTACAAGTACATTCCCTGTCTTTTGTCCTTTCTGTTCGAATTTTTTCTAGTGGCCAGTGTAATCGCCTATTTCTCGCTATAGTTCTATAATTTTGGCCCCGGTATTACCAGTACGTTCTATTCTGTTACAGATATGATATCTCATGGAAGTATTGATGGCAGGACTTATTCACATATTTCATCAGTTTTAGAACCACAATCTGCTCTGGATCAATTAATGCATAACCACAATTGTACCTCTAGAATGAAGGTCAAATAACGCCCGATAAAATAGTTCTGTTAGCAGTATGTTTCTCATGTTCCTGACAAGCCTTCCTCTAGTTCAGTCTATTGGTGTAAGTAAGTCAACATCGAATCCTTTAGACCTAATCAAACATTTTATTGTACAGTTTAAACTGCGTCAGAATTGTTAAACCTACTTATAGTTATATAGCTGTGACCTATTTCGTACCCAAAAATCCACATAATATGCACATAATGTGCATAATTGCACATACGTGATTATAAGTGACATAATGCGCTCAGCTCATATATCTTAACCACATTATCACACCCAGATTGGACAGGGTGGACAGAGTGGCAGGAGATAACAATCAGGGAGAGCTGGATGGAGATAGCACCTGTAGATGGATATCTCTTTTCTGTGCAGACTGATATCGTTGGTAGCACAACTGGTATACGTTTCTATCTAAAGCATGGCCATGAGTATTATAGTGATTACATTATCAACATCAACATCCCTGCAAATTCAGGTAAGACTAGAAATTATAACTCCCAGCAGTCCTTCCAATTGTGGTTCAGAAAGTAACTTTCTGTTTGCTGTATCGGAATTAGTAACGCTCAGATTGTTGTGTACGAAAGTTATTTTATTTTATCCTCAGATGGCATGCTGCTGGTGGGTGTAATAGGTTGCTCCATGGAAAACAACATCCCCTTCAGTAACTTAATATCTGGATATAGTACTATGGACTGGTACTTTTACAAAACAGCCGAAGAGTTTCAAGTGTGGTGTCAAGGGAAAATGGTAAGTGTTAAAATATGGTATGGAAACTTTATCACAATATGATTTCATCAAAGTATGATTTGCAAACATTATCAAAATATGATATGCAGCCATTTTCAAAATATGAATTCATTCAACCGTCGGGAATTAGGTATAGACTATAGACATTTTCAACTATATAGCTCCATCACGATTTATCATTATTCTTACTATAAATCATAAATATTTTTCAATCATTTTCCTAACTCGCTTTCTCCAGTACCACAGCCAAAAGTTTGCTGACGCAGCAGATCCTGATGGCTGCATTGCAAACATGTCCCCTGATATGACCAAGGTCAAATTCAAAGATGCTACTTATGATGCAAGCAAGAAAATAAGACACCCTAAAGAAAAAGAGGAGGAGCCTATTGATCCAGGTTGGTAACTAATATAAAAGAGAATAAATCGCACTTCTGTAAGTACAGAGTTAAAGTAGTGGGGCAGGTTTAAACTAATTATACTAGAGACTTAGCTCCCTGACCCCCGTGCTATTATATGGCCCGGCCCATCTCGTTCGTAAATAGTACCCACAAAGCAGTGGGGGAACTGGGACAGAGAAAGGAATGTGGATAAGAAATAGTGTACAGTAAAAACCCATTTACTGCACCGTACCTTCTTACTTTCCCTGTTTAAAATGTAGCTTACTAGAAACCAGCACATGGAAATGCAGCTGTACTCGCGGAAATTTTGAATTAGTTATATTATAATTTCTCTTCATCATCTAGCTCCGTTCTGTAAAAACTAATTATAAAATAAAGATGTAATACTGTTCAAAGAAAAACGATTATCATTCTGCATTCATTTAACTTTCAAGTAAATATAACGAAATCACAACTTTATCAAAATTCATTCAGTTAAAAGCACTCGGCTATTATAAATGGTCTAAAAATGAATAACTTACATACTTTTGGACTTTTAATAATGTAGAATTCATTAAGTAAACAAACTCATCATTTTATTTAGTAAGGTTTTATCCTAATTTTAAAATCCTTCAAGAAAAATGATATTGGATGTATGGCTTAATTATTTAACTATTAATTATATGGCTTGATACGAATAATTCAATTTTTATCTTTTTATGTCTAGATTTTCCCGACAAAAATCGTAAACATTAAAGTTGGCTGTTAGCACAGTCTCAAAAATAAAAAGAAAGTGATAAAATTATGAAAATAAGAAGAGTAACAGTATTCAACGAATAAAATACAACTGAGCTAAATCTTAATCAAAGGAGCGAACACATCCATAAAAAAGCTGAAAATTAAATCGAGGGGCCAGAAATATGCTGAGATTTTAGTCTGAAAAATAGTTGAGTATTTACAACAGATAATTGTGCGAAGATTTCAATATCAAAGTTTACTAACATACAAAGTACATACATATAAAAATCACACTAAGTACACACAAAAAAAACCGTACATAATACAAAACCATTAACTGTTCATTTACATTCCAACCAACAATAACTGATAATATTATTATACTGACAAGCTCATAAGTATAAGTGACACATCTGCATCATTATCCACGTCAATTAACCATCAATTACCAACTAATCAACAAATTAATTGAATAACAAATCAATTAAAAGTGAGCGACAATGTGAGCAAGCCAATGGACCTGCTGTATCCGTGTCATCCTTATACTCTCGTGCAGTATGTGCAGAATCTGCCGCTCAGCCTCATCGTCTGTTTTACCTATACACATCGCCTGAAACATCAGATATCATAACCAATCAAAATCGTAAGAGTGACATTGGTTTTTTTGGGGTTGGAACTCTGCCAATAAACCGATAAGTTGAGTCAAATACCCACAACAGATAAGTGAGCGCAACAAGTTAAACCACTCACTGTAGTAAGATGCTCCAGGTGTGATGCCTTGTTGACCTCCTTCAGTCCAGCTGTCAGTATCAAGTGCCACAGGGTTAGAAACTCTTCTGCGTGCTTTCTCAGAGCTAGGTACGCTTTCACAAACAGCTGCTCAAACCTGAAGTGCAGGTGAGCGTTAGAATAACAGCCTCGATATAGCACGTGATCTCTTGTCACGTGACATGAAGTCACACCACGTGACATGAAGTCACACCACGTGACATGAGGTCACACCACGTGACATGAAGTCACACCACATGACATGACATCACACCACGTGACATGAGGTCACACCACGTGACATGAAGTCAGACCACGTGACATGAGGTCACACCACGTGACATGAAGTCAGACCACGTGACATGAGGTCACACCACGTGACATGAGGTCACACCACGTGACATGAGGTCACACCACGTGGTGACGTTATATAAATCAGATGTCGAATGGATATTCCAAAGGATCTTTATAAATAAAACAGGAGCTCACTTTTTAAACTCGTCGTCTCCGTTGCAAGCTATAAAGTCCACCCACTCCTTCATAAATGTAACCGGGCTAGGTTCCCTGTTTACACCAAACTTTTGCTTCGTGTGACCTGTGTGATAAAACAGCTGAACCATTTCATACTACAATCTTATGAACAATCAGTCTTTAGAGATAAACCAGTGTGCGAGACGTGGACATTTTTTAGAGATTAAATTTGAGATCACCAAACAAAATAACATTTTGGAAATTTAATTAATACTCATGGACCTAAATTTACAAACCTAGAATGTGGCCGAAGTCTACGTGAACAAGTCTCCCATCCTCCCTTAACATGATGTTACTGGGGTGTCGGTCAGCAATACCGAGCACGTATTGTATCAGAGTGTACCTGAGGGTAAAGGTGTTACTGGGGTGTTATCGAGGTTTTACTGAGGTGTTATTGAAGTGTTATTGAGGTGTTACTGGGGTGTTATCGAGGTGTTACTAGGGTGTTATTGAAGTGTTATTGAGGTGTTACTGGGGTGTAACTGAGGTGCGTAAGGCGAGAAGGTAAGAAAAACTTACATAATATCCCATCATGTCACAGCCAAGTTAGTAACTTACCCACAACAAGACTTCAGAAAGTTAGTTCTAGCTTCCTCCAAGTCTGAGGGGTGAGGATTCTTCTCTCTTAACCACGTCTCAAACGCTCTGTTAATATGTGAATATATGTTAATATGTGGATATCAGTGGGTATGGTAAAAGGATTTTATTACTCGATGCTGTGAGCTGATTGGTCAATCATTGTCACGTGACATAACAGAGCTGCTTGAACATTACCAATCATTCACATCCTGATCACCACTCTCTCCGCTCTTTATAAATCACAGGTGAAATATTCTATAATTCTAGAACAAATCACTGTATAAACTCACGCATATGCTTTGTAATTCTTAATAAGGCCCGCTAGATTCTCCGCGTCCCTTATAAACTCCAGAACTCCTTTCTTGTGACTCGTACAAACAGCACTGTACTCAATCAACTTCATATCCAGTCCTTCCTTCATCCATTTTAGGTTTATAAGGTTTATAAACTGCAGTACTAGCTGATCTGAGGGAAGGTTTATAAAGTTTATAAACTGCAGTACATAGTGTGTCCTTGTATTCGTGGACAGGAGGTGAGCAAGACACATGCAAAGACCTCGCCTTGGGCATATCACTTGATAAAGAAGTGAAATAATTAGCATAAAATTATCAAATTAGCTAAATTGTTAAGGATCCAGTATAAAACCCTCGCTAAGGAGTAAGGGACGACATGCGCCCGTGCGTAGATCAGTATGACAATGTAATTAAATAAAATTAATCTTGCTGTACAAAAGGTGCTGTTTTTCATTGTCCTACTATGCAGTATCCTCGTCCTCTATGTTAATATATTACATAAACCCTGCAAGATAAGGTTTGGCAGAGTCGAGTAATATTTCTTACAGCATTATCATTTAATGGTTATATTACTCGTAAGTCGTACGTTCAGCTGCGACTTTCTAAAAATATGTTAGAATCTAACATATTTGTATGTTATAATATCGTAGTATAGCTAAGCTTTCCTGCATATGAATCAGGTCATATCTTTTAAATCCAACGATTTTTTGTCATTTAAAAGTTTGATAATATAACGACTACGATAAGAGCGTGCAGTCGTTTTGGCTACGTCAGACGAAAAATAAAGCGTCCAGCCCAAAACTCCATTACGCTTCTTGTCCATTTGTATGTGTTCTAGTGTTAGCAACATCTGGTTCAATAATTTGTGAATTATACCGGCCCTAAGAGATCATATCACTATCAGGGAGGATTGGGGGAAGTGGTAAACAATCCCTAAAAGTGTGTGATAACGATGAGAACAACACCTTGTCTTAGATCATCACCCTCCTTGTAGATTATCCCAAAGTTCAGTTTATATGTTGGATCCTGGGAAAAAAATGATAATTCTAACTTGCATGTTGCCGGATATCTTTTAAACATAACAGTTCTAGCATTTCTGACCCCAACGTTCAACATTTGTGAATATTGGCCACAAGCTGGTACCATGTCTTCGTAAAAAACCATAAACAAGAAACACAAAATCACAAGATAAGACTTAGCTAACTTGATTGGTAAACTTCATCAACATGGGCCTCATGCTGCTATCAAATATCTTTGTCTTTTCCACCAGAATGTCTTTGGTCCTTTGTCGAGGATCGGTCAAGTTTTGGAATCCACAGAATGTTTTGTTAACTGCCGGGGAGTTCAGGGTAGATTTTATCTGAAAATAGGGAGGTTATTTTTGAGAAAATAGGGAGGTTTTTAAGAGAGAGGCTGGACCTAGTTGGCCCACAAGAGGATATTATCATTAATAGGAAGGTTGTAATTTTTAATGTTAGCCTAAACCGCTTCTTTATTATTTGACTTACGATCAGATTATGAAGATGTAGGATAATGTTGGATCAGATAATGTAGGTGCTCACATTTATAACTATTTAGACGAAGTTTAACAAACGACCTTCCTGATACATTATAATTTAATGTTCTCTAACGAACAACGGCAGATTTTTTCCAGTGGTTCTGTTTGCGAGATCCTTTTTTCCCTCATGACAAGTCAAGAGTTTTCTAATTTAAGTGAAAGAACAGTTCCTGCTTTAACCATAGGATATGGGACACGCTCAACTACCCCCTAATTATATAAACCCCTGTACTAATGTTATAGCACACATGACAGTGTGATTAACCTCTGGATGGTAATTACGAGAGTAACGCTAGGTGTATAAAGTCAGTGATCATGCTCTGGAGTCATGTAATTGTGTAAATTTGAGTTAAACGTATGTTTAATCATAGTTCAGGTTGAAGACTGTTTTACAACCACCCCCTTGCGTTCAATCCCCATCCTTGACGCGTGAGTATGATAATATTTATATAGAGTTTCACTTGTGGTTTTATCAGACCTAAGTGTGTAGCCTATACTACACGCAGTGATAAGCTATAGGACTTTATTCAAACCACTCACTCCCTGCGCTGTATTAAGGAAGCAGCTCTCTCACGCTGCGACCTTGTACAAGATCATTGTGTTAAACGTTATTCTGAAAACTGTGCCCGCTCTCGGGTGAGTAACTTAGGGATTGGTCACATATTCTTCGGGCGAGTAACTTAGGGATTGGTCACATATTCTTCAGGCGGGTAACTTAGAGATTGTTCACATATTTTTCAGGCGGGTAACTTAGGGATTGTTTACATATTCTTCGGGCGATTAACTAAGGGATCGTTCACATAATCTTCGGGCGAGTAACTTAGGGATTGTTCACATATTCTTCGGGCGAGTAACTTAGGGATTGTTCACATATTCTTCAGGCAAGTAACTTAGGGATTGTTCACATATTCTTCGGGCGATTAACTTAGGGATTGTTCACATATTACGCAAGCCATTCTCTGGCCATGTTAAACTCCCCCTCCCCTCTCTCAGCTACTTAACACAAAGCTATTATGTGGAAATAACCCGTAAGCTTCTCCAAGCCCCTACCCCTAAACCGGCTTACTTATGCTGGCAGTCTTCTAGTCACGTGACACACGTAGTAATGTGTCACGTGACATAGTAAATTAGTTATACGTGCGTCATGTGACATGAGGGTTGCCGCGAGGCCCAAAAGAGCGTGCTTTTGGTATAAATCTGCATTTTGTGTTATTGTAGCTTAGCTATCTGGGCAGTGCGTTGTGCTAAAAGGAGGTCACTGATCGTTGTTTTGTTTCAAGCACTGGCCATTTTAAACCGAATGCACTCAGTACAGCTTAACCTAGCTTTCTAACATCCACATTGCTTCGCTCGGATTACAGATGCCATATCAAAAGCCAGAAAGCAACAGAGACACGTTGCTTTCTGGCTCAGGCTGTATAACAAAGTTATATAGCCTGAGCCCCAATAATATGTGGTATTTAGCGCGAAATGTGGTGAAATGGTATATTATGTCACAATCCGTAGGACGGGTCTGCACTTAGAGATTATAAGGAACCACATTAGTCACATCAAAATGTATAATTATTTGATGATTTCGTGTATTTGCATTGAATTGATAGAGCACATATTAATGAAAACGAAAGGAAATATTTATCTCATGAAAATGGGATTTATCATTTACGTTTACACTTTTTGCTGTGTATAACTATAATGATTTAACGTCTCTGTTTGTCGAATTGCACTGTTCTGAATAGACTCTCCTCTCGAATCTATCGGTTCTGAAGTCTTGAGTCTCCAGTCTGGTTGTTTCCAAATTAGTTGATTTCATTTCCTTTTCACGTAATTGCGTTTAGATCCTCACTTTCCTATTTTCCGTAGCTCATGTAGAAAGTTGAAAGTTTGGCCAATGAACGTGTGGGAACACCTTGGCCTTGATCGCTCTTCTGTTAGCCGGCAGAAGTTTCTTACGGGAGTTAGGAATGTTAGGCTGATCTTATGTCTGACTCTTCTCCTTAGGGGAGTGGCTGCTGATAATCCTTCAAGTTCAAGTCAAGATGCCGATGATGAAAATGAAGGTAAGAGCTATTAAATTGTTACTGGTTTCAAATCCAACATGCTAAAAAAAGGTAAATAGGTATCAGTATACACTGAAAATGAAGCGTTCTCCCCCATCGAGAAAATGGACGTAGTTCTTGTTAATGTCAAAATAAAAATGTAAACATATAAGGGCTATTGTAATAAAGGAATCAGTTGGCTGCTTTACAGGTTGGAGAACAGTACGATCTAAAAATGACCGTAAGGATCCTATACGCTTTGACATGAACAGTGGAAATCTACAAATCAAAACAGAGAGCACTGCTTCGAGTAATGATAACTATAAGGTGCGCGTACATTTCTACGACGGAACAGAATATAACGAAAGCGTAGGTACAGTCACCCTCGGTTCATTCTTACCTCAAAGTCAAAGATACAGTATGAACTGCGGAATTTATTATAACCTCCCCTCGTCCCAACTTACTAAAGGCACAAAGATATTGGAGATATCGGAACACCCAGGAGTACCCAGGATTAGAGTTCAATGTAACGGAGTTGAAGTGCTGGATATCACGCTGTCAAATAAATGTGATCAAAGTGGATGGCGCGAGTTCTGGAGTAGAGACGTAACGTATATAAAGTTCGGTCACCTGGACACAGCATCTAAATTCTACAGACAAACCACAGCAACAGGTTATCATTCTTCTTTTTTACTAAACATTTTTTGTCTCAATTGATCAGGTAAGCTAGATTATATGTATATCCACATACTTTAGTAGCAGGGAGGGGTTGAGTGTGCACTTCGATGTACAGAGTTTTTATACTGAATCGGGTTAAATAGGTCATTGGTAACTCAAATCACCGAGGGGCACATGTTGTGTCGCTAGTCCCAACCCTGTGGGGCCCCCACAGGGTTAGGACTAGCGACACAACATGTGCCCCAGTATCTCAGCTTCTGAAGGTCTCAAACTTTGGCTTAAAATGACCGCAATACACATGTTTATATTGACACTATAAAGGTCATAAAGGCCCAAAATGCTTACTTTTGGAAAAAATCCAGAAAAACTGATTATCACCGGGGCTAGAGTGAAAAAAATCTACTCTATGACTATAGTATGGAAAAAAAAGTATTGAGACCCATTAACGCGAAACTTCGTACACTTTCGCGCGTTACGAATCTCTGTAGACCCATTTAATTAGTTTAATGGCTTGACGTATAGTAGGGGTGTTACGATATGAGGCGTGATATGATAACATGAGGCGCGCGGCCCATAAACAATAAAAGTTCAATCGTTGTTTATGCGCAAAAAATTCGCATTGGATCCGATCAAAGGTTCCTACACAAGGTCATTTCTCAATTCCCATTCATTTTGCTCCTGATAGTGATATATGAATCTACCGATTTGTTACTGGCTTAGAGGAACTGTTCCATTTCATTGTCAGTACGGTTTCTTCCTAATTAGAATCTAGAATAGACATAGAGTTACTGTTTAAAATAACAATTCTATTGTTTACTTTTATAAGCTGTAATTTGACATTTGATATTGTTTCTTCAAGAAACCCTGTTCGATTTGACACCCTGTTCGATTTGACCTTATTAACTTTTACTCTTTGTGCACACCCCTTTTTCTTCGTGTTAAACTGCTTTTTTATAGAAGCTAATTGAAATCGAGTTCGCAGTTTGGTGCCTACAATGTTTCTTGAAACCAGGTCTTTTGTAAGGTCATTCCGGATCAGAATTGATAAGGTACGCAATTTCTATCAGTAGTTCCAACCATAGGGGGGAAATTTTTAAATTACCCTCAGGCGCAAATATATGACTTTTGTATCTCGGCTTCTGAACGTTGTAGGGGCCTCTCTTTTAGCTCAAACTAACTGCAAAGGCCACATCTACAAACAAGCTACAAGGCAACGTAGGGTTTATAGTGCTTAGTTTTAGATATATTCATTAAAAACTGTTTTAACTTCCGTGCATCCTAAAATAGTAACACATGTACTTAATTTTGGTATCCCGAGCTAAAAAAGTCTTACAGACACTTTACTTGCAGCACAGCAAAATGTTCAGTATGAATACATTCAGATAATATTTATGGAGCAACACAATTCAGTTACAGAAGCTCCTTTCCAGCTATCTTATCTTATCCCCAAATGTATACATCTAACCATATCTCTGGTTACTTCAAACTACTTCAATCCCCAAATTTATACATGAACATCTAACTATCTCGTTATATCTACCACAAGTTGGGCTCTCTCCAGTACCTTACCTCTCTCCCTTATCCCGTTGCTTTGTTCTCTAGTGACAATCCAATTGTTCTTTGGCTCCAGAGGTATCCTCGACCCCATAGCTTCGATTTTAGTATGTTCAGCTGCTTCAAGTTTATTCCCCGTCTCGTGTCATCGTTTTTTAGATTCAGACAAACATTTTGGTTTCTCTATTTGATCCCTTGATTATTTTTCATATATTTATATACTTTCAAGGGTAGCCAAATATAAGCGAAATGATCACGAAGCCACTACCGTTACTTTCTGTTTTAAAATGATATTTTAGCTAGTATCATACCGCTATTTAGATAATATACAGACGACATGTTAGCTACAATTACATAAGGTGGAGGGAAAATGTCCCATATAACTGGAACACATTTTATTCTTGATCTACTTTTTAAAGGTAACAGAGTGTGAGTATTAACAACCAAAAATTTTAATTATAAATATTTACCACTACTATACCTACAGAAAGCAAGACAATGTCAATGTTTCTCTTCTTAATCTTACGATCGATA